TGACCTCTGCTGTCGTAACCGTAGATTGTCTAATAAGCTTGACAGATTGAAAATGTTAACAATAAACTTTAGGGAAATTACATCAAGGAGCATTATTACTTGTTTTAGCCCTTTGTCATGGTATAAAAGAGTGTTTAGTGTAGATATTATTGATTAATATATTTTGTGAGTGAATATTTTATGATTATTTACTTTGTTCACGACCCGGCATGGCCAGGTGATTAAGGCGCTCGACTCGCAATCTGAGGGTCGCAGGTTCGAATCCCCGTCACACCAAACATGCTCGCCCTTTCAGCCTTGGGGGCGTTATAATGTGACGGTCAATCCCACTATTCGTTGGTAAAAGAGTAGCCCAAGAGTTGGCGGTGGGTGGTGATGACTAGCTGCCTTCCCTCTAGTCTTACACTGCTAAATTAGGGACGGCTAGCGCAGATAACTCTTGTGTAGCTTTGCGCGAAATTCAAAACAAACAAACTTTTGTTCATAACAAGTGAGTTAGAAATAATTATTTTAAAGTAAATGTTATGGCAGGTTTAGTTAAGTAAATTGGTAAGAGTCATATATTGTGTTTATAACTCATTGATAGAATGAGATTATAGAATGTCGCGTGAAATTTATTGATGCCGAGGATATAGCGAACAGGTGATTAAGTAATAAACATATAAATAGTGTGAGATGAGCGGGAAAAGTAGACAGACAGAGCAAATGAGAACGGGAAATAGAAGTGCGACCAAAGAATATGTTAGAAAACAAAATTTAACCATCATAGGAGTGGATAGCCTAACGGTTGATATGTTAAAATGAGATTAACAGTTTTCTAAAACTTTAGGAGAATAATTTGTCTCGTTCAAGGGTGTTCTAAAACAACTAAGCCTGTATGTGTGGACTTTGACAAAAAACAGACGATTATTGGAAGTGGGCATATATACAAAAAAGCAAACGAGTATTGGAAGTTCAGGAAACAACTGCAGCAACTCAGAGAGGCAGAGTAAGTGAATTATACATCGAATACTAGTGTGATAGTAATAGAGAAAAATAGTTCGGTTTGTCAACTGAATTCTAAAGGAAGTGAATAGGCCTAAGTGGACTTTTGACAAGAAGATGAGAACTATATAGCATTTATGATATGCTTATGGTCTCTATAGTGTAAAGTTGTATATACTTTTAACAAGTTCGAATATATATATGTATATATATGAATGTGTGGAATGTGTGCTGTTCATTTATTTTTAATTTATCGCCGTCAAATCACAGACACCTACTGTAGAAGAATCCTAAGCCCAACAACAACACAGTACATACCATTAAGAAGTATAAGTAAAAGCCTTTAATTGACAATTGGCGAACATAACTTAACATCCGACACCCTTAATACAAAGAAAATGCTATGCCACATAGTATATAAGATTAAAACGATCACAAGTAACAAAGAAAATGCTATGCCACATAGTATATAAGATTAAAACGATCACAAGTAACGTGAAGATGAATTGCTTGTTACTTTTACAATGCAGTGTACAAAACAACTATTCTTCTTTTATAGTTAAATTATATAGACAGAAATTAAGCGTATATGTTACAACACTGTAAGTAATACAACTCATTAACGTGTAAAAATCAGCACTTAATTACAGAAGTTTGCAATCACTTTGCACTTTTAGAATATCCTGAACCATGCCTTCACTGGAAAAAATGAGACATGAATAACTAATAGTCATGCAATTCCCTTTTAATATATTTTATTACATTCAAATGTTATCATCTCGTGTGATCACCATAAAGCATAAGTTGCAGTAAAATCCAGTAAACATAATCTACAAGTTAATGATACTAATTTGATCCTTTTCTCTCTCAAACATTTCTCCTAAACAATGATAATTACAGTTTATACTATGTCCAGTGTTATCAAGATAATACTCAACTTACTGATCCAGTTAGTTTTCACAATAAAGTCACATCATTTGCTTTGTAGCTTTGATCATCCCTATGGTTAATGGATTATTTTTCAGCTTCTTTAGGCTTATACAGTCTGAACAAATACAATATAAAACATGTCATGTTATTTTTATATTATTTCATCTCATATGTCAAAGCAAACAAATTAAATACATTATTTCTGGATCTATCTTTCAATTTGAAGTTTCTCGACTTGAAGTTTGATTGGTTGTTTTAGAGCAAAGCCACATTAGACTATCTTTTGTGTCCATCACAAGGAATCAAACCCCGGATTTTAGCTTTGTAACTCTGTAGACTTACCGCTGTCCCACTGGGGACGCTTCTAATGTAACGTAAATTGATTGGTCTGAATCTTCACATTTTAACTCCGACTTTCATTCTATTGAAAAAGCAATACTTTGATTGTTGTCTATGTGCAAGAGGAACTTGTTTAACAAACAAAACGTAGACATACAATGTCTACTTTTAACAAATAAATGTTCTTACATTTAATAATTGTAGCTCTTCCTTTTGTATGCCAATAATGCAAAAAAGAGGACTCTTGTCTTTTCAAATGTATTCAGCACCCACGTGAAAACATTGTAGATATGGCAGACAAGAGTTTGTTTGTTTGTTTTGAATTTCACGCAAAACTACACGAGGGCTATCTGCGATAGCCGTCCCTCATTTAGCAGTGTAAGACTAGAGGGAAAGCAGCTAGTAATCATCACCCACCGCCAACTCTTGGGCTACTCTTTTACCAACGAATGGTGGGATTGACCGTCACATTATAACGGAGCATGTTTGGTGGGACTGGGATTCGAACCCGCGACCCGCAGATTGCAAGTCGAGCTCCCTAACAACCCGGTCTTGCCGGGCCTAGTCCAATAAGACTGAAAATAAAATGAAGACAAATAAAAACAAAATTAATTTGACGTTAACTTAGGGTAAACGTAGAACTAATTTAACACATGATTACATCAGAATAAGATTATAATAAACCAATAATCATAGAAAATAAAATACAATGGAAAATAGTGAACCACAAATAAAGTTATGTAAAATATAGGCATGAATAATTAATAAAACAAGGTCAGATATAATGCATATTTAATAAACTTGAGGTTGCAGAAATGATGAAACGAACAAAATATATAGCTAGATACAATGAACATACTGTGATTCAAACTCAAGATAAAGTCCATATCTAATAGAAAACTGAAAGTGTCTTAAAACCAGGTGAACATAATTCAAAACTAGGTGAAATTATATGAACAGAGAACTGAATAAAAAAAAACAGTTACAATAAATAAATCCTATCATAAATGAACTTGATTGCATACAAACTAAACAAATGAATGCTTTAGAAAATTTCTTTGCCTTCACAGATAATCCTAACCAATTGCATGGTAAGAGAGTCATAATAGCTCCATCTGCACACGTGGGGAGTTGTGGTTTACTGTGGACAAAGTCTAGTGCACTGACATAGTGGAAGGTGACTGTCAAACCAATAAGTGAAACACACTATTGCCTGTACATGAAGGAAGAAATAATAGTGTAGATAGTAATCTGTCCTTTCAGGAGTGAAGTCCTATTGTTGCTCTGGAATTATTTTTATACCAGCATTCCATCTTCTTATTGAAATAGTTGTCAGAGCAGCAAGGGAAGTGGAGGTTAACAATACTTGTGGTAATGATACTGTTGCTTCTGTTTTACTGTATATGAAAGCAAAAACTCAGTTGCCAGCACATCTGGTTAAATGCTTGCATTGATACTTTTACATTTTCTGTAGAAGGTACTCAATGGCTCAACACTCTAGATCTGACCCAAGGTACTGGCAGGTCGAGCTGGGTGATGAGAGTAGGGTCAAAACTGTTTGAACTCCAAACACAAATGTAGAAATTCTTGGTCACATAGTGGAGAGAGAGAGAGAGAGAAGTGGTGCCTCAACCACCTTATGAAGATCACAGTTGTTTGAGATTGGTTTCAACCTATAATGAGATGAAAATTTTGTATTTTCCTTTAGTGTGCCGCACTATTACTGTTTTATGACTAATATTTCCAAGATTGTAGCATCAATGTCTGTATTCACCAAATCTAATGCATTAGGTGGACCAAAGAGTGCACTCATACATTTCTGACCCTAAAGCATACTGTAGTAGAAGCTCC